CCCCCCCCGGCCCTTCCTTGTTGCACGCGGTCACATCTGCTTGCCGCACTGAGGATTCTCTCTTGGGAAAATGTTTCCCTAATACCAGAATGCTATCTGCAGGAAAAGCACAAAGTGTGTTTCAGTTTTGTTCTTACTCCTCTCACAAGATTTATTATTCCTTGGCTTTGACCTTCCTGGAGTCTCAACTGCATGGCCAGAGTTTCACAAGTCTCTTCACCTCGGCTGGGCCCAACCTCCCCCACACCAACATCACACTACTTCTCAAACCCCCCCACACTCAGCTGCCTGTCTCCCCCCAGCTCTTCCCGGCTAAGCCCCAAGCCGTCCTCCACAGGCAAGCGGCTCGGGGTTGGCCAGCAACCCCAATGAAAAGGGCTTTGCGTTTTTTTATGGGGGTAGGGGAGTGGGATTCTTCTCTGCAAACACTCCCTCAGATACTTTGTTGCTTGAATCCTAGCCATATTAGCAGCCCCTAACTCTGCTTCTGCATTTCCTCTTCCCAGGGACACTTCCACTCTCTCTGCTTGGCCTCGCTTTCCCTGTGCAAGAGTTTGAAAAATGCTGCGAGGGTGAATGAGGGGCTCACTTTCTGTGAATCTCTTCTTCCAAGTATCCAGGCACTGGACTTTGTTTTGTACAATTTCTTCAGCATTATGGCTGTTGATAGGAGGCTAGGTGTGATACCAGCCCCTCCATCAGAGCTGAAAGTGAACTCTCTCCTTCCCCACTGAATCTCACCTAGCACAACATCTGGCAGTGGGTAGGAATGTACATATTTGTTAAATGAAATAATGAATTGGGCTTTAAGGATATGTAGCACTTGAAAGGTGGAAAGGAACTCCTGGAGAGGGGAGCAGCATAAAGCAAAACTCAGAAGACAACAAACTGTCTTGTACTTAATGGGAGCGAGGATTGCAAAGGCAGGATAGATGCAGATTGCAGGAAGCTGCGTTTGCATTCAGGGGCCTGTAAAGGGATGAAAATTTACACACTATGACAGACTTGTCACAAAGCATTACTTTCTCTGTCTGCATTAAAATGCTCATTTCTACATGGCAAAATTTAGTTGATCTAGGTTTAAAGTATTTATCCCTTCCAGTTTAAAAGTCTCCTTTGGTTAATTGGTTAATTATTCACCCTTTTGGGGTATCGCTCTTTTATCGAAGGTTCTCCCGCTTCTAAAGAGGGAATGTGAATGTGAGAGTTAGCTCTGGTTCTGACCCATGTAGCCCTTTCCTGCCACCTGTCTGTGACCTCTGGTGGAGGCACAGCACCTATTGCCTGTGCTCTGGGCGTTGTCTCTGACTTTGCTGTATTTCCTGAAGTATTTCCACCCTGTGAAAAATGTGGCCTGTTACTTCACTCAAGGACTGGGAGAGCCCTTCCGAATTTGTTCCTCTTTAGCCTCTGAGGCCTAGCTGCCAATTTTGATTCAGTCCCAGCTTGGACATTTTGTGCTGTAGCTCTCAGCTGGCAGGTTGAGTAACTGCACTTTTCTCAGCCCGACGCCCTGCGATTTCAGCACTCTGGGACAATCGAAACACATCTGCACCAACTAAAAGCCACATGCAGATCCTGGGGCATCAGAAATCTTATCTCAGGCCCATCTGAGAAAGACTCTCCATTATTTCTAATCTACTGCTTCAAATAGAATTTTTTATTCAACAAATACTTACTGAATGTCTGATCACAATTACAATTATGGTGGAGGTGCTGAATGTAGCATAGGTTATGTTGAACGATGCTAATCACACTGCTTCTCTGAGAGGCACCCAGGAAAGCAAAGAGTAAGCGTTTTGTTCACATTTTAGGGAATTCCAATCACAGATTTTACCTTCCTTATAACTGCCCTGGATCTCAGCTGGCAATTGTTATGCACACCAGAGTACCACAGTCCCATTGCCAGGAAGGACTTCTCATTTCCCCTCCCTTTGCAGCAGGAGATGAGCTTATATCCTAACTTTACCCACCCACCCCCCCTCCTCCCTGGCATATATAAAATAAAACCTTGTAAGGTGCCTGGGTGGCTCAGTCGGTTAAGCAACCAATTTCGACTCGGGTCAAGCTCTCACAGTCCATGGGTTCAAGCCCTGCATCCTCTCTGTGCTGACAGCTCAGAGCCTGGAGCCCCCTTCCATTTCTGTGTCTCCTTCTCTCTCTGCCTCTCCCGCCCTCTCTCTCTCTTTCTCTCTCTCTCAAAAACAAATTTAAAAAAAAATTTTTAAATATAAACTTGACTACGAGAATCTTTGGCTTGTAAATTAAAATTCCACTCTGGAAAATCCAAGATCTTCTCTCAACAAAAACAGGTTCCTGCAAAACTCCAAAGTGTTAGCTTTCTTGCTATGAACTTGGGAGACTCAGTACGGAGTAACGACTTCCTTGCTCTAGCTATTTTCGCCTTTTCTCCTAAAGCAAATGAATACGTCAATGGGTAGACATGAACGGAGTGAACAGGAACAATCAGAGGCTATCTGAAATCATGTATATTAGAGTTTAATATTTTTGCAAAAGTATCCCTACAACACCAAAGAGTTTGGATTTTGTGAACAACAGGGAGCTATCAAGGCTCCTGACTAGCAGAGCGATACATTTCTCAAAGATGTTCTCCCTTCATGTACTGACTCTTGGGTCCTGCTGTCCCTGACCTCCTTGTCCTAATTTTCTGGTTTGCCATATCTGCTTCCTCTCTCAATCCCAATTAGCTCTGTTTCTGCCCCTAGTCTGACCCCAACTCTTGACTATATCATTGGCTCAATGATTTGTTTGCCGTCTTTAGTATGGACTATTCCCCCAACTGATTAATCTTAACACAGTGGAAAAGCATAAAAGACCCAAGCCCCCTTCCTAACATCACCACCACAGAATCATTTGAACCCTTTTCAACTTAATGTAATTCTTACCTTGGTACAAATTTTACCACCCTGTCTAGACAAATACAAGACTTGGAGAGATAAAAAGATCATTTTGGCACATCACCCATCCCTGTTTAGGGCATCAGTGTAGCTTGATTTCCTTACTTGAAAAAAAAAAAATGCCCAGAAAGTGCAGAGTAAGCACCGGGGCTTCACAAAATTTAGTATAGGCTGTCCTGAAATTGATACATTTCTCATTTACTTAATAAGAGAGAATAGCTACAAGTATATGTAACCAACCATGAAAATAATGCATGAGAATAGAATTTGGTACAAGAATTAAACTAAAAATTGGGGCACCCAGGTGGCACACTTGGTTAAGCTTCCAACGCTTGACTTCAGCTCAGGTCATGATCTCACCATTTCGTGAGTTCGAGCCCCACATCGGGCTCTGTGCTGACAGCGTGGAGCCTCTTTGGGATTCTCTCTCCCTCTCTCTCTGCCCCTCCCCTGCTCAAGCTCTGTCTCTGTCAAAAACAAACTTAAAGAAGGTTTTAAAACTAAGAAACTAAAAACTTCATAAATGTTTGATATGAGTAAGTAGCTCAAGACAACACCTAATGATACACATAACTGCTATGGTGCTGCATAGAAATTGAAACTGGGCCCAAAGATCAACAACAGTGCATGACGGTAATTACTGTTCTATGGCCAAGCCAAGAATGTCCAAGATGACTATGAAAAGCTAACAGGTTAACTCAGGGTGGGCTAGGCCTCCTTGGTTCTTCAGAAGAGTTTGTTATTTCCTGCCTTGGTTGGAAGCAGGACAAGGCTGATACTAGAAACCGGACTGAATTAAGCTTAGGGGGATGTAAGGTGATAGTGGTGTTGAGATTACATTTACCGCTCTGATCGGGAAAGTGCTTCCCACCCTCCTCACTGAGTGCTGAAAAAATGACAACTAGCACAATCTGGCTTCAGGGTCTACACAACATGATGGAGGAAGAAGTGAAAGAGGAGGAGATACTGTGGGGAAAGGGAGCTGAAATTCCTCTCCCTTCACTCTTTTAGTTGAAGAATTTCAAGTTTTTCCAGAGGGATCCTAGAATGCTATTTACTGTAGAAAGAGCATGAGTTATGCTTCTAGGAAGATCTCAGTTTAGATCCCAACTCTACCAATTACTTCATATTTAGAAGCTTACAAGTTATGTATCACACCCAAGCATCAGATTTCTCACGTAAAATTGCAATGATGTTACCTACTTATAAAGGTGTCTTAATTGACAAAATATATTGTAAGTACCTAGGACAAAACAGGTACAGGTATACCTCATTTTATC